AAATCTAAACACCCTAAAGTGGGCATGTTTTTTGTAACATTTACGTCGGGTAATCACCAGATTTCAATGTTTGCAGTGATTGCACCGCTGCTTTTAAATTGTGTTTGCTTGAACCTGAGGGGTCACATTCGTCGGAGCTTAAGCCATGACGGCGGCGGCTTAGCCCTGATCACACAGCTGCGGTGGGAAAGTGTAAACTATCGGGGATGAGGTAGGAATCACAGGACTTTTACAGCAAAGAAGCGTGAAAGAAGAAATGACGTCACTGACAGACACATGCTGGTTGAATTAGAGAGCTTTGTGTAATCATCATCAGGATAACTGTCTCTTTCCCCCCATGTTGGAACAATAATAAAACTGAAAACCAGAACTGAACCGCCTGGATTTACTGTGGATTTTCTTCAATCCACACAGAGCCAAAGCAAATGTACAGACTCAAATATATACAAGCAGGTTTACTAAATGAGCTTCTGCTCTAATTCTGGTCGGAGATTTGGCCTCTTTAGCTTTGGCAGATCAGGAAAAGTTCATTTGAACTGATTGGTTTCTAGTTCAGATAAAAGTTTTTAATATTGCTAGTTTTCAATCGAGTTGAGGGCAGAACTATGAGAAAAAGTTGGCCTGCTTTCAGGACAAGCCAAACAATTAGAGGATGAATAAAAGACAACTGGACTTTAACTGGACACATTTCTCCTCATCTGAGAGGGACGGTCAGAATACCCAGGTAGAACACCGCAGTGGGAGGAAACAGATTTGATTAAAAATATGACAACTAGCATTCAGACAAAGTTGACAATATGTCCAGCTGCAGGTTGTATGTCTATATAAAGGAAGTCACACTTCACACTTCCTGTCCTGATAAGCCGATAAGGACGAGGCAGATATGTGGACTACATCGGAGACTTCTGTTTCAAAGTCGTCATTTCCCTTTTTCCTGTTAACAAGCTTCCCCTCCCTGCTGACACACTTCTGGTTGCTGTAGGAATTGATATGCAAGATGGTCGTAATCACTGCACCATTTCACATCTTTATCTGACAAAACATCACATCACACACTCACTGAGCGTGTCACGTAATCAAATACTGATGCATTAAAATTTAATGAAGCACCATGCTGAAGTCAGTGACTGCTTACCGCCGCATCTACGATGAAACTACACATACAGAGCATAATGGGATGATAGATATTTCAGGAGGGTCTATTAGGGTGAATTCACACCAGCTCTGCTTTAACTGAACTCTAGTTCGTTTGTCTGGAAAATCCAGTTTTTTAGGTGTTAGTGCGAAATCAGAAAAGAAAAGTGACCTCTGGTCTGCCTAAAGACCTGGGTCTCAGTCCGGTTGAAATGAACTCTAGTGCAGTTTGAATGCATACGTGGAAAAAAAGCAGGAAGTGGACTACAATGCAGGGCATTCTGGGAAAAACAATCTGAAAAAACATGCGAGTCTAGCACAACCAGGAGAATCCAAAAACCACTCAAATCTGATGCCTCTAAATTTCTGTTTACATTTTGTGAAGAAGAAAGCTTTGCTCATGTCTTCAGAAGATTTTGTGTCATTTTCTTCAGTAGTTCTTGGTGTAGCGCCTCCAAAGGTGAGGAGGGGAACAGGTTTTTCAAAGGGATTGGCTTGTTTGACACAATGCAGAGTGAAAGAGAACCACAGCAGCTGCAAATGTAACAAACGTTGCAATTTTGGTCCCCGATCAAACTGAGTCTACCAGAATATCAGGTCTGAAAAGACCCTCAGTGTAGACCTCCTGAAACCCAGAGCTCGGTCTGAGTAGAGTAGAGCTGAAATTATTGGCAGAATAGGAAGAGTCGTTTCGGCTGTTACTCCAAGTTGTTTGGTTTTTGTTTTTTCCAACACATTTTCAAAAGAAAGTTGGAATTATTTCTACGGGTTGACTTACATTTTGAGAGAATGTCAGATATTTTGTAGAAAAATGAGAAGATAAATTTTTTAATTAGAAACTAGAGAAGAAAACCTAAGCTCATTCTGTGTTCTGTACCTAATGTGTGTGTGTGTGTTTTTTTAAATGAAATTCAGTGTTCTAAGTCGAAGTTTGTTTGTATCACTTGAGAGCATCTGTATCAAGTCAAGCATCTTGCTACATGTCTGTCATGTTCACATATATATGGCACTTCCTCTGTGCTGGTGACGTATGACACGGAGCGGCTTCCTCATCCTCCTTCAGCCCAACTTCCTGTCTGTATTTCTCCTCTGAGATGAGAAGGCTGTCATCAGCCTTCATCTACTCATGTAGATCAGGGGATGTGAGGAGGACGGCCCAATTATTTTCACGACTCTGCATTTTAAATTCCATATCTTCTTCTGGAGTTGGGCTCTAAATATCTGATTATATTCAGTTTAGTATCGTTTATCATATATTGTGAAAGGTTTCTCAGTACAATATGGATATTGAGTTATAGTTGTACAAATAAATTCCAATTAATAATGTTTTTAAAAAACAGAATACATTTTATTTATATATATATATATATATATATATATATATATATATATATACTTTTTTTTTTTTACCATTTTTGCGACTTTTTGTTTCACAATAGCAACAACAAATATTAGTAAATTTAAAAATATGATAACACCCAATTAGAGTGTGCAACTCAGTGATATAAATCACATTTTTTTTGGATATTAATATCTGTATCGGTCTTGATATTGAAACAAATTCTAATGGTGTATTGGTGACAATGTGCACAATCAATAAGGGCAGATCTATTCAGTCTAATTCTGTGCTTTGTGCTCTGAGAGATGTCTTGCTTTATTTATTTTAAATTATATTTAGAATTCCTAATTGCACTTCATGCACCATTTCAAATAAAGTTTGCAGCAGTTTATTTTCTCATGTTTGACCAAGTAGTGGTCAACTTATTGTTTTTGTCAGTTTTTAGTTCTTTATTTAATTTATATTGGTTGTTTTACTCCTTATTGAACTGACTGAACAACTTAAAGTTGTTTTTACATGTTTGACCAAACATATGAAGCTACTGGTGTATTTAACTGTGTTGTACTGCTGCAAAGTTAGCAAATTAATATGTAATTTGGTACATTTATGTCTGTGTTAAAAAAAAGAAAGAAGTTTTAAGTCAATTCACTGCTGTTTTTCTGTATCAAATCACATTGGCCTATAATAAACATCAGATATCGGTATCGAAAAAGAAAAAAAGTGGATCAGTATTATGCTGCGGTGAAACTTTTCATCAGTCGGGACACGGAAGCTAATTAGTGTTGATGAGAAATGGTTGAAGCTCAAAACAAAACAACTCCTAATTGCACTGACTTCTGTAAAAAGTTGCAAAAAGGCTTGGAGTTGGGGTGAAAGTTCACCATCCAGAGAATAAAAAAATCTAAGAAACATGCAACCAGAGCTGCAATGAAACAGTTTAGTTTTAAGTCTGTTAACTGAATCTGTGAGCAGACTTGATGTTTCAGCCTCTACATGTGCAAAACTCTGAATCTTTACCTGTCTCCTGTCACACTTCCTGTTTTTCTCCTCCAGTAGGATTCTGTTGTCGTGGAGATCAGACTCCTCCCCCATAAAAACCTCCTGAAGCTCCGCCCACTGAAAGGCACACTCCGTCAGCTGCTGCTTCTGCTGCTGTGGAGTGCAGAGGCATTGAATGTTTCAGATACCATTTTGTTCCTTTTGGCTTTTCAACATCAGGACTCAAGCTGTCGTCTCTTTTCTTTACTTTTTTTTTTCTTAAAAAGAAAAACAATCAGGTTGCAAAAACACTTTGGCCGCAGCAGAGCAGCTGACGTGAGCTACTTGGTGATGATGACGATGATAATGATTGAAGGCGACAGATAGGGTTCAGAGGTTGGAGCCATATTGAATACAGATAGAAACTGACTCACGTTCTCCAGCTTCTGCCGCTGCTCCTGCTGCTGCTGGATCCGCCTCTGTCGGTCGGCCAGAATCTGCTTGATCCGCTCCTGCTCAGCCAGCTGCTGCCGGTGCTGCTGCTGCTGACAGGCCAAATTCAGGAGTTCAGAAAGTTATTCTTGAAAACAGCAAGTCCAATTTTACTTCCCGTTTCATCAGGGATGTTCCGAATGCATAACTATTAAGAATATCAACTTGGTCTGTGACTTTTAACCACGTAATGTTTACAAAAGGATTCACAACCCCTGAACTTTTTCGCACTCACACTTTTAAATTTAGATTTTTTTGTTTAACTAATCATAGCTACTCAATAACATTTTCACCAACCCTAAAGGTAAACATGCTACTTTATTTCTTCGTGTTTCATTTGAGGATGCACCAACCTTTTTTTTTTTTTTTCACTTCCGATACCAATATCTGAGGTGTAGTATCGGCCGATACGATCCGATACAGAAAACCAAAGCTGAATAATTCACTTACAGACATAAATGTTCCAAATTACAAGTGTATTTGACAACATCTGCACCATTTCAATGCACTTCAATACATTCATCTCCACTTTTAAATTTGACCTTTTTGCCGTTTCCTCAATCACATTTTCACTTCCACTTAGCATTTTAATTTTGCTGTATTATTTCCTTTTCTCTATTAGTAACTCTGGTAATTTCCAAGGTTATTTTTTTCTTGTTTGTTGTATAAACACAACAAACAAGACCCACATTTTGTCATCTAATTTTACCTAAAAATCCATTACTTTATAGCCGCTTTGTCATCTTGTGGTTTTTAACTCCAGACACTGTATGAGTCATTTTTCAGGTTTTTTATAGATGGAATAAAATACCTGATGTTGAAGTAAAACACTGAAGTCAACCACAAATTAGCACTTATTTAAATCACTATGTTGATTGATTGATTTTTTTTTAAGGTTTTGATTAATTCAATTGCTAGAAATGTTACTGTTCTATTCTTAGCAGCACTTTGCGTGGCTTCCTGTCACTAATCCCACCTGCCTCTTAATGCAAATCCGTCTGTTTACTGTGGGCAAGAAACTCACTTTCAGAACTAGTTCACAGAACCCAACTTAAAAATTACAACACACACAAAGCAACAAGAAAGAAAAAGAAAAACCTGCTCAGATATCTGGGTCTGATGGATTTCTGCTACCACTGCCATCCTCAACTTTCTTCTTGCAGTAAGAAATTAAAAAACAAAAACATCTGAGGCTGCACTCCACTCATTGAATCATCTTTCATCAGATCGCTCTGGCTCAATACAGGCAAGATTGTAACAGTTTCAAATTCATGAATACCCACAGAGAGACAAACACACACACACACACTGCTGGTTACTGATTGGTATTAATTACTGACCCATGTAACAGTAATGTGGTTAACTCTGCTGAGACTAGAGAGATGAGGACTGAGCATGTGCGAGCTTCCAGTGGTGTGTCGTCTTATCTTTGTGTTCAGATGTTACATCCAGAAAATTGTTTTATCTGTTTCAGCATCATGATAACGATATGATGTTTTTGAGGTTTTTAGCTCTGGTAGGCAAACGCTGTGTCTGCTGCAGCTGCTGCTGCTACCACACAGGAGAGGGGTTTAGTTAGTAATGATTTTAAGGGGATTGGGGGGCAGAGTATTATGTCAATTTTTTTTCTTTATTTTAAAATAGATGGAACATTTTTACCATAAAAAACAAATTAAATTAAAGTGGTGAAACTAATGAGTGGGAATCAGGACAATATTTCACAAATTGGTTGGAGACATTATTCTTTTTGATGCGCCATTTAGAAATTTGTGGTCTGTTTCCAAATACAGGTTTTTCTAGAGGTTCAGCCCATCAATACCAATTTTAGCCACAATGGGAAGTTTTCTTAAGAACTGCAGTATGAAAAAGAATTGAAGCATATTCAAAATAGTTTTTCCAGCTTTATTGATACTGGAAGCAGTTATTAATAGTTATTTTTTTAGGAGCAGAGGTGACGTCACACCGTGTGTGAGGGAAAGGAATTGCTATAAAACAAGACAATTATTATGGAGTTGATAGCTTAGACCAGTAGTGTCCAGAGTGTTTCCAAAGTGGGCCAAAAACCCCCACCTTTTTTCACTCCTCAACAATAAACTAAATCTACAATAACTCTAGTTAAACATAGTTGTTGTTTAACTTTATTTTTGTAATAAAGAGACGTTTAAATAATTGTAGGTCCAAAACTTGAAGAGTTTTTAAAGGAAAGACATCCATTTTGCAAATTCTTTTGCAAAGAAAAAGATTCACCCTTTACTCAGCTATGAGAACATGGTTTAGGTCACCGTCTCTTTAAAAATGCTTCTTGTATTAAGGAAGGTTGAACAAATTAATTAAAAACAGATTTGGATTCTCTAAAGTCTGTTTCTGAGTAGAAGTCAGTTGAAAAATGTGGTTTTATTTACTAAAAAAATAAGAGAGCAAAATCATGGTTGTTAAAAGACAAACACTTTGTGTTGAACTAAACATTTAAATTTGTCAGTAATAGTTTTGCTCTAATTAAAGAAAAATAAAATAAATAAAAGTCTCCGTCTGTATCAACCTTTCTAGCTGTTGATACACAGAAACAATCAAGTGGCTCCAAATGGCCCACGGGCCACACTTTGGTCACCTCAGGAATAAAATGTCTTTAGCATCTTACTTTAGCAGTCAGCAGAGTTAGCCTTGATTATGTTGAAAATAGTTTACTTTTTCACTCAGTAAAACCTCCCTCACCAAAGAGTGCTTGCTGGTAGTGGTTAAGCATGGTGTGGTCAAGATAGGAGTTTTAGTTTCTGGTTTCCCCGGTAACCAGAGAAAACTGATAACCGGGGCATCCATTAGTTTTGCTAACAACAGGAGTAAATTACACTGAGTGAAAAACAAAGTCACTAAGAAGAAATTTAGTTTAGGACAAACACAGATTCAGTTTCTCAGTATGAAGGTGTACAAAATCAACCTGCCTGTTGTCGTTGTTGAGCTCCTCCTGCCCCCACATGACCCCCCTCTCTGCCTCCTTGGCGATCTTCTGTCTGTAACCGTAGAAACTCCCGTCGTAACGTCCATTCCCCGGGAGAGTTCACTATGGAACTGAGAGCGGAAAAACAAACAAACAAACAAACAAAAAGAGCGTGAGAAATGGTGAAAAAGTAGACAAACAACACGGTAGTGATCAGGTTAAAGACAGATTGGGAGGGGCTACAGGATGACCCATCGGTCATCTGTTGTTGGACACCAAGAGAGGGACACAATGGACAGAATGTCCATGTGGAGAAACCAAAACAGACGACTACCTGGGTTCGCCTTCCTCCTCTGCGACCTCGTCTTCTTCATCCTCACTGCCGCTGTACTCATAGCCTGGATCCTCTAACAGAGAGAAATACAGAAAGAAAGTGGCGAAGAATTCAGCTTCACATTGGTAGAGGCTGATTATCAGCTGCTGTGTGATTATCATAAACACACAGCAGCATCAGAACGGACAGAACCGTCCAACAGGACCGTCGGTCCAACCCGAGGTGAGGATAATTATTGATTTGTTTTTTGTTTTGAACATCTGAAATACTGCCAAACTGGAGGCACGATCTTTCCTGTTTTATCCAGTTTTCACTCCACAGCGTTGTTTCATATTTTTATTTTTAAGTAGTTGTGAGAAACGGCGGACGAATGTGAAACTGCTGCTGCACAAGTTACTCAACATTTCGTTGCTCGGTAACCAAAAAGTGAGTGAGTTAGTTGGCGCCACCAGCCTAGCTTATCCAAAGCCTTTCCTCTGCCTGCATCTCCCAGAATGCTGTGCGGTTCAGGATTGGAATTCAGTTCATATTCTATATATTTAATCTTCTATCAGATGCATTTCTTTTTTTTATGATGCAGAGATTTTTTTTTTCATCAATAAAGTTATAAAATGTTTTACCAGAGACAAAAGAGATACACTTTCCCCAACAATCAGATACGGATTCCTTGCTCAAAGTTGGGAAGCAAAGACGTAAAGTTTGTCCAAGAAAAACATCAATGACAGGAAATCTGGAGTCAAAGAGAACCTTTCCGATTGTTTGGGACATTTGGAAATAGAATTAGTCCTAATCCAAGTGACTCGAGTTTGTCACAATTCTGCCCAAGAACTTTGCCACGAACAAACACTGTGTTAAAGAACATCTTCTTCCAACAATCCAGAAACAATTTTGTGATGGGACTTTGTGTTTTACGGCACGGTGGAGGTCCATGTCTCACGGGAAAAGTGATAACAAAAAGGTTCAAAGATCAGAACACTGACGCTTGGGATCAGCGGTGAGGAAAATCCCCAGATAACCTCGCTGAGCATCTGTAGTCAGTTCTCAAAAAAGCAGGTGGATAAACAGAAGCCATAAAAAAAAATGGGATCAACTCCCAGGACTGATGAGAGGTCACCGTTAGTCAAGACTTTTTCCAGAAATAGATGCACTGCGTGTTGGATTGAAAAGCCAGCACTGTAAACAAAACCATCTGTGTCGTTGGTGTTAGGGACCTGTAACACCAATTCAGAAATCGATTGGAAAGTAAACCAATTTTGTTTGCTTCCCAACCAAAGCAAACAAAAGCTGTTTTGGTTGGGTAGCTGATCTAGCTAATTTTTGCCAGATCAGTTGGTTGGAAACTAAAACATGTTTTTCCCCAGTCGCTAAACACAGTAAGCATAAGCCACTTGACGCTAATAGCAACACTTTTCAAAAGGAAGACAGAGTCAGCAGATGTGCCTCAAAACAAAATCAAAGAAAAGATACAGATTTAAGAAGCTATTTAAAAGAAAAGTATATTATCCTGAACATGCTATGTAATGTCTGCAACTTGTTCAAGCTGAGACAGAGCGAGATTTAAAGCAGCAAACAGGAAGACAAAAAAGAAAAATTATTCAGTTTAATTCTTTTGAGAACGCAGTATTTGAAAATGTTCTCAGTTTTTGAAAACCCCTTTGAAACTATATTTTAATAAGTAAGTAGAAATTCCAATAGTCTGGCCTTAGTGAGTTAATATTCAACTCTCAAAAGAGATGGCTGAAATAAAAGCAACTTTTAGAAAATATTTTCTGTCATTTCTTTTTTTTTTTTTTTTTTAGAAAAGAAAGTGAGACAGTTCAGGGACAATGCACAGAAATTGCTTCTTTATTAAAGCTAGCTATGCTATTAGTGACTTTTGCTAGCATAAGATCACAAACTGTTGAAAGTATCAACTCTGTCATTTTATTAATGTTTAAAAATGATTACAAAAACGGGTGTGAAATTGTGATTTTATAATGCAAGCCATGCTACAAGCAATATTTGCTACCATAATATACTGGTAATAAAAAAACCCTGCTGTCTGTTATTATTCTATTAATGTTTAGAAATAATTATAGAACCTGTTATTGCTGTTTTAGTAGTGCTAGCTATGCTATTAGCACTTTTCGCACTAGCATGAGATAGGAAAAAAAACTGTTGAAAGTGTTGTTATTGTCAATGTTTAAAAGTAATTGCAAAACCTCTGAGATTACCGTTTTAAAAATGCTAGCCATGCTCCTAGTGCCATTTCCGAGCAAAAGATAATAGTAAAAAACTGTTTAGCCAAAGTGTCAACTCGGTTATCAATGCTTAAAAATAATCGTAAAACTCTTTTATACAGTGGCATCGCCTCTGCTACTAATCTAGTTAATGCCCATCTTACATCTTCAAGTAAAACTCTTAGAGAATTCAGAATGACCTAAAACTGGTAGCTACATTCCTACTCAAAAGTATATTTCTTTTACAGCCACATATGTACACAGGAAGTGTTTTGTTGTTTTTCCTGAAGCCAACAGAATAAAATCATTGTTCTGAGGTGGTGGTGGGGGGAGAGAAGTTGAGGCTCTAGTAACAACATTTGGACAACATCTGTTGTGAGAGCAGCTCAGCCAAAAGCTGAACACTGACTTGACTCTCCAGATGTTCACATTAAAGGTAACACAACCCAGGTGGAGTTGGTTAAAGCAGAATGATAGAAAAATAAGGTCAACAACATTTCCTTTCCTGAACTCCCTCTCTACCCCCGTTGTGTTGTTATCCAAAGTTTTGGGCTAAGTAGAGGAGAAAGGAGCAATTTGTTGTTTTAAATTTCATCGTTGGGTGATGCATCTCACAAAGCACAACCCATCTTTGTTCAAACTGCACCCCTGAGGACGCTCAAAGACGACACATCCCCCCATGCATCACATCCGGAGAATTTATTTTTGATTTTGATTTTTTTTCTCCCAGCAGTTCACACACACAATAATGCAACAGGCATTTTATTTAGTAGGGCATGCACACTTAGACAGCTCTAAACACACACACGTACACACACACACACACACACACACACACACACACACACACACACACACACACACACAGAACAAGCAGAAAGTCTCCAGCCATTTAGTGTGCTTTTGGAAGCTCAGAGATTAGAACCAGATGGCCATTCTGTTTCCTCCTTCCTTCCTCTAAGCGTCTCTCTCTCTTTCTCGTCTTCCTTCTCCTTTCTGCCTTTTTTTCACCTCTGCAAATAAACTCTGATAAAACTGACAGATCTCATCAGGTTGTTTTTCACAACGTGCAAAAATCCGTCAGAAAACAAAAACGCCGGGCTGATGTTGGCGTCGCGCATCGAGCTCATCTAGGGAGAGAACGAGGATAAATTATTTTCACAACAGCGCTCCTCCCTCTATGTTTCACATTCCAGCTGTGCTGCCCTGTGTCCGTTTCAATCTCTCCAAAATCCCTGCTTCCTTCCTTCCTTCCTTCAAAAAAAAAAAAAAAGTAGCAGAGGATTGGGGTAATGGTATCAGAAAGTGAAGACTTTTTAAAGCTCACCAAGAGGAATTGTGTAAAAATGTGGGCAGCGGCTGCGGCCAAGTGCAACATTTCCCCATGTTGTAGATGAACATCTAGAGTTAGAGAGCGCCCGAGCAGAGAAAGGAGACTCAACTGGTGAGGGATTCATCTGGAAATAAATCCTTACACCAGCTGCGTTTCCACAAACCATAAAATTGCGTAAATTGAAATTACAAAAATAAATGTGCTGAATGGAAACACCAATTTATAGAAAAAATTGGGGGGTTTTCAAACAACGTTCACCTCGCTCCTCCAGAGCTCTCACAGCGTCACACAGTTCATAAAAGTTGTGTGTCATTCTAATGTGTTGAATCCGTAGCTATTTTGTGAAATGGCCGACTACAATTTCACCAAAACGGCGCATATGTAGCCGCTCCCAAGTAGGCGTGGCTTGTCGTTACAACTCCTGAATAAGACGTCAACGTCTCCCCTGATTGGCTGATAGATGATGAGCTCTAGCACCATGACTGGATTATGAATATATATGATGTAACTGTTTACATCCATCGTTGTCACGATTTGTAATGATTTGTCACGTGCAATAGCTTATTCACAAGAGATTTTAAGTTGTACTTAATGGAAACACCCACTAGCAATATTGTGGCTTTTTTCGGCATAAGATTTCTATACATTGGTAAAGGAAATGCATTAGTACGGTCAGCAGCTGGGAGGATCTTGACAAAAAGACCCAAAGGACCCTAAAACGTTTTGGATCCCCTCACCCTTCTCTCGCTTCTTCCTGGTTCTGTCCAGGTGGTCCTTCAGCATGATGCGGACCTGCCTCTCATTTGCCAGGTCCCTGATGAAGGCGTGCTTCAGCAGAGCGTCTGTGGCGGGTCGGTGGATGTGGTTTTTGACCAGGCAGCTGTCGATGAACGACAAGAAACGTTTCGACCTGCGGAAAGCGAAGCAAAGAAACGATTCAGAGGAATCTGTCCAACATGTTGAACTAAATGCTTGAAATTAACATTATTTTTTAGAATTATCTAAATTTAGCTCAGCTGCTGCAGCGTTTATTAGAGTAACTGTACCATGATTCTACAGCATATGGATCTTTTTAACATTTTATGTAAAAACAACTACACACTTCAATGTGCTTTGGAAAAAAATGATAGAAGAAACTCTAAACATGTTTTATCTGTTTGTATTCTCTCAGTCGATATGTTGTAGAAACTAGCTTCTGCTGCAATTACAGTCGCAAGTGTCATGAGGTACCGGCTCTTCACACATACACTGCCTGTAAATAGTATTCAGTCTTTTGGATGTTTTACACTTTTTGTTGCTTTTACAAATCAAATGTGATCAATACCATTTGGCTTTTTTTCTTTGCCATCTCTCTCTGTGGGAATTAAACATTAAAAAATTATTCTGCACAAAAAGACTGAAAACAGGAAAGGATTACCTGCCGAGATCCAAATAACTGAAGGCATCCAAAACATGATTTGTGCCCCAATTTAAATTTACTTGATGTAAATGGCTCGACGCTGTTGTACGGATGGATTCTGTATACTGTTCTTTGTATACTTGTATCGACTTCTTACTGTATTGTTCCAGTGATAATAAAAATGATTATATAATCCTAAATGTCTTTGGACATGGATTGAAACTGTTTTGTCAGTTTTTGTTCAGGTAGCTGCTATGTGGACAATACACACAGATTGTTGCTTTAGCAATGCTAGCAGTGCATTAGCGCTTTTTGCTAGCATTACTATGACTAGCATTTTGAATCATAAAAGACTTTCAATTGTTATTTTCCATTGTTTAAAAACAATTATAAAATCTGTTTGAGACTGCTGTTTTGTAATGCTAGCTATGCTATCAGTATTAACAGCAACATTTATCAATGTTTACAAACAATTCTAAAACTTTTTAGTGCTGCTTTAGTAATGCTAGCCTATTAGTAGATTTTACTAGCTTAAAATAGCAAAAACTGTTGAACACTGACAACAGTTATTTTGTCAATGTTTAAAAATAATTACAAAGAGATTGCTGTTTGTTAAGGCTTGCCATGCTACAAGCACTATTTGCTAGAATGAGAGAGTAAAAAAACAGTTTAAAGTGTTACATCTTATTTTTAATCAATGTTTAAGAATAAATTAAAAAGATTATTGGTGTTTTAGTAAAGCCAGTTAAGATATTAGCACATTTTACTAACATAAGACAGTAAAAACAGTTGAAAGTGTCAACTCTTTTATTGATAATTAATTTTAAATTTGTTTGATGTACCATGACTGCTGATAGTTATACGGATGGACTGATGCTCTATAGTATTCTGTATGTTATTCTTCTAGATTTAATAATGTTGACTTTTTTTGTTGTAACAATAAAGACCAAAAAAGCTTTTTGACAAAAAATTAAAACATTTGAGATAATGACAATTAAACAAATAACATAAAATGGCATATGTTGCTTAGTTTAGACTAAGAAGTTTAAATCAATTTGTGCTCAAGATACTCGTCAATTTAAAGACCAAGAAGTTTCCAACAAAAAAAAAAAAAAAAAAAAAAACCGGTTAAAAAAAGAAAAAAAAAAAAAATGTTTAATAAAAAACCC